GTATGTCTTTTTTTTTTTTTTTCTTCAGGAACACCATATTTACTTGAAATAGTCATTAACAAAAATATTGGTCCAACATAACCTGATGTAGCAGAGTAGAGGATGTGGTGGAACACTAAGTTCATGCATTTAAAGTAGCTAAATTATGCCAAATTATAATTGTTTCTGACTATATAACCAATGTTGGGGAGATGTTTGTTCTTACTGTGAAATTATTCACTTACAGCTGTCACAGCATCCTCCACAGCTGCTGTTATTAATTATTATTAAAAGGAGGCTGGTTCTGAAGAGCAAAAAGGAAAAGTAGGCAACTGGGGTATTCTTTGTTCAAAGTATTGCTAGTATTGGTTGGCTAAAAAAAAAATGGTGTTGATGGTTTGGAAATACATGTTGCATAAATTTCTGGTACAAAGGCCTTTCAAAGGGAAAGGAAACACAGAAATCGCTCCTTGTTTTAGAACACAAATACATAAATTTTAATCTGAGAAAAATACAAAATGAAACCATGTACAAGTTATGTACAAACCTTTTTTACAGGACAATATATTTATCACTGGATATTACATATGACAAAGTCAGGTAGATCATTTCTGAGCACCAGCATTTGTTCTCTCTCACCAATCCTTAATGGTTTAAAAGTAAAATGATGAAGTCATACTCCTTTTTCTTAATGAACTTTTAAGTTAACATGAGAGATGTTTCTCAGTGTACCCCATCCCCATCTCAATGCCCAAACTATAACTAAATAGACAAGTGTAGACATGAAAATATACTGTGTCTCTGCGTGTGTATGTGTGTGTGTTTTCTGAAGAAAGAAAGTCAAGCTCAGCCTTGAACTCTACAGAAAAGTTAGATCAACTTTTTGGGGGCACAAGTTAGACAGTCGACATTGGCTAAGCGTGTGTATCCCAATACCATGGCAGAAGCAGCATTTTCTTAACTGCTACATAAGAACATAAGATAACTTCTGCTGACCTTTTGGTGTAGTTCCTGTTACTGTCCACAAAAGCTTTGTATGCCCTTGTTCTAATTTTGCAGCAATCTATTTCTTTTTCTTTTTTTTTTTTTCTATTCTATGTGCTCATCTGCCTATATACTTTTTTTCAGATATATAAAGGTCTCTTCTAAAATACATTGACTGAAGCAATGAGAAGCTTTCGTTCAACCTCACTGAGGTTCAAATTCAACGCAGTATTACTGTGTTTAGAAGTTAAATATTGTTGTTAATTAGAACCAAAGTGATAAAAAGGTATATTTTTGTTCCCCCTACTCCTTCTCATTTTGATAGTAAACAGCAGTGCACCATTATATAAAACATATACATTAGCCCTATCTATGGACTCAGTGGAATTTAATTAGTTAGTTATATAGACTAATGCGCATTTTAGGCTATATATAGTTTCGAGGTGGCTGCATGTTCTATAGCAGAGAATATCTATGCAGGATAGTTACATCAGATATATAAGTATAGCTGTGCTGATAAATACTGGGGCAGAATTACGAGTGCTATAGGTCTATGTGCCACCAGAGGAGGCAGCCACAGCTCCATACTCCCTTCCTGACTTTTTTTCAGCCTGAGCCTCTACCCACTCCTACTAATACTGATCAGTACAAAAATGCCGTAATTATTATGCCTGCTAACTAAATATTAGGAGATCTGTAAAAGAGATGTGTGTGTGTGTATATATACTGAATTTATAAACAAAAAACTTGTGCCTGTGGATGTTAATACAGCGTTAACAATAGAAACATGTTCAAATTGTGGTGGTTTAGATTGTCAGAAGAGGGGAAAAAGAAAAGCAAAACATATAAAGAACTCTCCATTCCCCCGAATCTGCCATTGACTTTAACAGCTATTCCCATGCCAATCCATTACAACACACTTGCAAGTTGTCCTCACCCATTTTGCCACACACTTGCTTATTTTACTTACCCACATTTAAAAGTAAAAATGACAAGTGCACTTCTTTTCATGCTAGGGAACTAGGCAATTATGGTTTATTTTAAAACCTCCTCCCGCAAAATGCAGAAATGCATGCACTCTTGCATGCCCTGACACCCAAGAGTCGTTACAGACACCTTCCCGAGGAGAACATTCAGACTAGCTTTGCTCTTCAGCCTGGAGATCCTGTGAGTTGGTTTGAGCAGCAATGGTGGTGGCATTGCACAGGTTAGCAGGTGAGGGAACAGGAGGTGGAAACATGCATAATTACCCATTTGTAAATTATTGCTCTTGTCATGCAGTAGTTTATGCCTCCAATTACAGTACTATTTGTTCAATATGGAAAAAAAAAAAAAAAAAAAAAAAAGCTAAGCCAACCGAAATTGCCCTCCGTGAATGAGATCACACTGTTATACTTGCTCTTCTTTTCCTACTCTATAAAACCCTCAAGAAGTGCAGAGCCTTCATACATGGAACAAAACAAAAACAAAAACAAACACGCAAAATCCATCCAGAAACCTATAATAAGAGATGATAGCTAATACTTTTGCAGAGCTCCTTTTCTGCACTACATCATCCAAATTAGTTTTCTGGTTCAAGACCTACGTGTGCCTTAATGAGGCTGCATGGGGGCCTCATTGTTATGGGCTTCATGGCCTTCCCCTTGAACAGGCGTCACGGAGTTTCCCATCAAGGCCAGGTGGGACGTGGCCATGAGGTGACAGCTCCGTGGGGACCCGGCTGTGGGTGCCCCTCATTCCGCCCTTGGGACTACCAGGGCAGGGCGCGGTTTGTGCAATCACAGAGGTGACATTTTTTAGGAAGTTTTTGAACTATACAAGGAAATGTTTGTTTGAACGCATTGTCTAATCATTATTAAATTATGCAAGCAACATTTCTGTAGCTGCAAAATTGCAGCTAGCCTCTGTGCATGCAGGGGTGTGTGTGTGGGGTGCTGCGGGCGCCCATGTGCATCAGCACGGACATGGGTTTCCACAGCACAGTCTGCACGCAGCTAATGCAGCCAAAAAGACGTGGCTTGGTCAAACTGGGAGAGAACAGCAGATATGAATGCTCCAAGTGCCAGTGCCAGCCTGTCAGGAGTAGATGTTTTTCTTCGTGTCCACCCTGACTCCAAAAAAAAAAAAAAAAAAGTTAATATGACTCTGATCTCTATCAATGATATATACACGTATGTATTTGTATATGCACATTAAAATATATCTACGTGCATATATGCAAATGTATGCCATCCAATGCATGAGTTTAAAAAAAAAAATAGTTATGCCTGGATTAATTGCACGTGCGATTCATGAAGAATCTGGAGTTTTATTTTCTTTTCTTCCCTTTCGAAAGAATAAAACCTTCTTTCTACATCAATCAGCATGTCCTCTGTCAGCTCTCACTTTGGCCCCTTTCCCAGGCACTTGCCTGGGCGTAATGGAATACGTGCCAGGATTGGTGCTGGCTTTATAGGCATGTTCATTGCCACCAAGACAAAGTTCAACACAGGTTGTCTGTGTCCCCCAGTACCCAGCCCTGAGTGGGTGCTGCCCTGTCTAATCACAGAAAGGAGGAGTGAAAAAAAAAATTATTAATTGCTCCTTGCTACTTCTGTAAATGCATGATGCAAAATGTAGCTGTATGTGTTTTTCTCCCTCATTCTTTGTAGCTGATACACAGATCTATTTGTGAGACTGGAGGCGAGTGTATTGAGACCTTGCCCTTCACTCGTGTCTAGGCTGCAACGTGGCATTTTGGGGTAGGACAGATCACCTGGACAGACACACACATACCTTAGCAGTGTGGGACGGTTGCATATTGGTTTCATTAGTCTGCTTTACACAGCGAGCACTCACTTCTGAAGGAAGGATGCTAAGAAATGGCACTGTATATGGTAGTTTTAGTAAAGAAATGTATGCATTTTTATGCCCATACATTAAAAACCAGCCTATAT